CTGCTTTTATCTTTCTTCAATTGTCCTCTATATTGTGCTCCTGCTATTAATGCTCCCATATCTAATCCAATAACTCGACATTGTAAATTACTTGGAACATCTCCTTTAACTATTCGTTGTGCAAGTCCTTCAACTACTGCTGTTTTACCTACTCCTGGTTCTCCTATTAATACTGGATTATTTTTTGTTCTTCTTGATAAAATACGAATAACTCGTTTAATTTCTTCATCTCTTCCAATAATTGGATCCATCTTTCCACTTTCTGCTTGTGCTGTTAAATCATTTCCATATTTCTTTAATGCTTCATACTGACTTTCTGCTTCTTTTGTTTCTACACTTTGTCCTTTTCTCATTTCTGTTATTTTTTTGTTAAATTCTTTCACATTAATTCCACTATTTCCTACTATTGTACTAATTTCTTTCTCTTCCATTAATGACATTACAATTACATCTATTGCAAGATATGAGTCTCCCATTCTTTTTTGTTTCTCTATTGCTCTTCTTAATACTTGTTGTGTTGTTGGATGAAGTCCAATATCAACTGGTGGTGGATTTTGAACTACGATTTTATTCATTGTTTCTTTTATTTCTTTCTTTAATTTATTAACATCACCTCCCATCATTTCAACTATTCGGATAACAATATTTGATTCTTCTTCAACAATTGCTTCCATCATATGAATTGGCATAATATATGCATTTTTTCTTTCAAATGCTATTTCTTGTGATTCTTTGAACATTTGAACAGTTGCATCTGTCCATTTGTTTGGGTCCATGTTTTATTTCTAAATGCTTGTTATTTGTTCAAGTTCCTTTAAATACTTAATGAGGATGATGTGATGACTTATTGTTGTGTTGGTTGTTATTCATATTTTGTTATTCATATCAACGTGGAATAACGTGGTATCATGTCATCAAATAATAACATAATTTAATAACAAAAATGAAATAATATCACAAATATCAATGACAATGATGATTTAATCATTGAATGAACATTAAACATTCAAAATAAATGAATGATTTAATTATTATGTTAATGTGAAATTAGTGTAGTAGAAAATATTCTCTTAGTATTTGTGTAACTTCTGTTAATAGTGATGAACAACCACATTCATAAAAACAACTCTTTCCAAATGATGTAATTTTGATTGGAGAATAATCGAAGTCATTCAAGAACAACCATAAAAACAGCTATCGTAATTTAACAATTGAAGTAGTAAAGTGATAGAAGATTACCCTGCACTTTCTAAAACAAGTATTTCTAATTTAGTAATAGAAGGAGGGATAGTAATTATTTAATGATAAACATCCATAAAAACATTGACAGTCCAATTTATTAATTGAAGTAGGAGTAGTGATATTATTTAATCTACATTCATAAAAACAATAATATCCAATTCTAGTAAATGATGTTGGAATATTAACTGATGTTAAAAATAAACAACCAAAAAACATGTATTTCATAATTCAAAACAGAAAATGGAAGAGTAATTAATGTTACCTTGAACATTTAATAAAGTATTCATTTACTAATTTATAAATTGAAAAATGAATATTAATGGAATATAATGAAGTACATTTACACAAACAATTAATACTTATTTAACTAATTGTAATTGGAATAATAAATTCATTAATAATTGTTTTTCAATTTCTCTTCCATTCATTAATTTTAAACTCTACAATAATTCAATACTAACTAACGCTGGTTCATTATAAAATACTCTTTTCATTTATGAATTTTAATTTTTCTAAAGGAATTGATGTTAATAATGAACATTATTATAAATTAATATATTCTATTTGTATTATTTATTGTTAGAATGTTAATATTTTTAATGACCTACATCCCAAAACCAATTATCTTTTAATTCTTTATTTGTTGTTGGTATTGTAACTTGTTTCAATGGACTCTAATATTTAAAACTATATTCTCTGAGTGATTTGATTTCTGGTAGCATTGTACTTACAGATGTATTTCTATCATATTGTGTATATTCTATATTTACAGATATTTCATTTTTCTTTCTCTTTTAAATATCTTGAATATTCTACTTTATACCATATTACTTTTTGAATATTCTTCAATCATTAAATATTTCATCATCATAATTATAAATATGAAATGTTTCAATATTAGGAAAGAATCTTCTTGAATATTCATCTAATGGAATTGGATTAAAATGAAATCGTTCCATATTTCCTTGAAATCTTTTAATTCCTATTTCTAAATTAATAAAATCATTAGTATCATTAAAGTACATTGATACTATCATTATTTCGTTGTTATATTCAATTCATAAATGAAGTATAAGATGATTACAGAATATGAATTTGATATTATTTCATTGAGTGTTATCAATTATTTGAAGATTGAAATAGAAATATGATGATATGAATTATCATTGATAATACTATGAATGATATGAATGAATTTACTGATGAATGATGAATATCAAGAGAGAAATGAGATGTGTTATAAGAATATACAATTGTTTAAATATCAAAATGATAAATATCAAGTAAATGTGATAGAATAGAATAAAAAGAAATAAACAAATTAATTATATCACATTGTGTATGTCATATTTAATTTATCAAATATAATACATTGTAAATAGAATCACAATACAAAATAAATCAAATAATGAAGGAGAGATTACAATTGAGAAAGATAGATAAATTCATTATTTAAATTGAAATTGATTGATATTTTTTATTTTTTAGTTGATAAGAACATGATAAATCATAAAAAAGAACACAACAATAATCATTCTCAAAATATGAAATAAACAATAACCATAACATACAAAACAATTAGAAATAATATGGAATGAACGATAAATATGAATTTTATCAGAAAGAATAAATAATAAGAAATTTGAAAGAAAAATAAAGAAATGATATGAAAAATGATAAAATAAGTTGAAATAATAGAAGATATACATTATAATATCATCACAAATTATTATGATGATAACTAACAGTTAAATGAAGAATGAAAGAGAAATAATAAATGATAAATATGATATTTTATATAAAACACAATAAAATAATAAAATAATAATAAATGATATAGTGATATTATCAGTACAATGATAATGTATTACATCAACATTAAATATATCATTGAAAATATATAATTCAATTCTTTTTTAAATAAACAACACAAATAATAGAAATGAACAGAAGAACAAAAGAAATGATTGAGTTTATTGAAACAATTCAATAAATGATGTAATTGACATATTCAAAGAAGATAATTCAATATGATGTTATAAAATCATTAATTTGTGTAAAATTAAATATTATCTTCATTATATCAATTATTAAGTAATCAAATAATAAAGAAATGATGAGATTAACAATAATCAAATGATAAGATTCAAATGAAATATTGAAAAGAATGAACACAAATACAATATATTTCAACAACAAACAAAAGATAAATAATACAGAAAAAGAAATAAAGAAAATACATAAAATAAGAATAAATAATACAGAAAAGAATAAATTAAAATATTAATCAAATAACAAACATACAATAAATAAATACAAATAAAAGAATCAACAATGAAATGAATAATAAAATAAATAATAAATAATATAAATTAAAATAAATTAAAAGTAATATTCAACTTATATAATAAAACAGAAAATAAGAAAGAATAAAAGAATAAAGAATGATAGAAATAAATAATTAAAATAAAATGAAATATAATAAATTAAAGAATGATAATAACATAATAAAGAACAACAAAATAATAATAATAAATAAGAAGAATAAGAAATATAACATCATAAAATATAATGATTAACTCATTATTATTAATTTCATTATTCATTATTCTTTCAAATAAAATAATAAAATAATAAAGAAATAAGTTAAATTATAAACAATCATTATATTATTTAATAATGATTGAAATAATCTTATTATTTGTATGGCTCATGTTCAAATAAACCATAAGGAATAATCTCATTTCATTTCAATTACAATAATTCGTTGTGGTATGAAAAATTCTGGCCATTCTTTTCCACAAAGTGCATTTGTTAATCCTTTATATTCATATGAACATTGATTACAAAATGATTCTGTTTTATATTTTTCTTTAAAAATACGAATATCATATCCATATCCAAATTCAAACAAATAAACATCTGACTGATTATATAAACAAAATGTATCTTGTGGTTCTTTAATATCAAATTTCATCATTCCTTGCAATCTTTCATTTGATTCTAATGAAAATAAAAATGATTTTGGATCATTTATACAACCAAATTTACCAATTTTCACATTAACATATCCTCCAAATTTATTTCCATCTGAATCTTCAATAATAATTATTATATGTTCTTTATTCATTATTCTTTTATCAAATACTGATGTACCAATATTCCAATCATCAATATCTGAATCAAATATTATATTTCCTACTTTTCTTGATGTCCATTCTTCTATTTGTTGAATTTGACATCTTGTAATGGTTAAATCATTGAGAGAAATAATTTGGTCTTTATCTTCTTCTTTTGGTTGAACTTCATCTGTTTCTTCTTTGCTTTCCTTGTTTTTATTTTCTATTACAAATTTTATTTTATGGAGATATTTCTTTTTAATTTCTTCTTGTATTAATTCTTTCACTACTTCTTTACTAACGCTGGTGTTGATTGACTTACTGATTTCGTTAATCAAATACCATTGTATTTCTGTGTTTGTTGTAATACCTTGAATTTCATTTTCATGGAGCTTTAGGTTTTTGCTCATTTTTTCATTTTCTTCTTTTAGTTTTTTTACTTGTTCATTAATGTTTTCTTTGTTTTCATCAATGAGCCTGATAATGTCTTCTTTTATTTTTTCTTTTGTTACCATTATTTCTAAATTTGTTTCTAAGCTACAAATTCTGTATTCATGTTCTTGTACTTTGTTTTCTATCTTTGGAGTAACTGCAACCAAGTGGGTAACTTCTTCATGAAACGGTCTCTGTGTTTTTCTCTTGTTTTGGTTTTCCATTTATTTATTAGTTTTAAGTTCCATTCTGTATTGCAAAATGAATTAATTCGGGAACCAAAATAAGCAAAGAAATAATGCATCCAAATAAAAAACACCACAAAGAAAAGGGGGTAAAATAATTTGAATTAATAAAATAATAGTTTTTATTAATTTGTTCTTAAATAATAAACAAAAAGTAGACAATTAAGTGATAATAGAAATGTTTTATATTGTTCCTTGCTCAGGTAAGAATAATCCGGGAACCAAAATAAGCGAAGAAATTATGCATTTAAATAAAATGATCAATTGAAAATGGTGTAATATATTTTTTTGATTATTAGATTATTCTGTTTTATATTATTTTATCTTAAAATTATAAAATTATAAAATAAAATAAAAAGTAGGTAAAATAATAATTCTATAACAATCAGTTGACATTTTGTAATATCTTGTTGTATTGAGTATGATGTATATTGATTTGTTGAGTATATTCATTCATAATTCTGTTCATTTTATATTATTCTTTATTTCATTTACCATCAATTCTATTTTAATATGAAAATATCATTATGAAATGTAATAAAGAAGAACATTATGTTAATTCAAATTTATAATGTTAGTTATGAATATCAATGATTATATAAATATGAATATCCATCTTATTGTTATTAATGTGTAAATATGTTACATTTCATTTATCACATTGATGAGATATCATAATGATATGTTAATAGATGTTATTATTTATTTATTTAAATGATATAATTATTGATATGAAAATTAAATTATATCACAGATGATTATCAATGATGAATGATGATAATATACAATGTAAATTATTTATATTATCATATCAAACAAGAATTAAATGATGAAATAAATAAAAAGATAATAAATAACAGTGTCAATGAAATGATGATATGATAATAACAAATTAAATAATTTAAACATCAACACAATAATACAGAATGAAGAGTGACTATTTAATACATATTATAAATTAAACATTTATAATTAATAATAATGAATTTAATGTTCATCTTCAACTTTCATTCATGATAATAATTCATTAATTTTATCATTAATCATTATATTTATTTTCTTATTATTTTCTTTATTCTTTCTTTTATCATTTATCATTTTATATTTATTTTATTTCAATTTCATCAACAGATATATTCATTTAATACAGAAATCGAAGTAGAATTATATAACTAATAATATACAAATATGTTATTCTCATATTTAATCACAAATATTTACATCTAATAATATTTTCTACTATTTTTTACCTTTTAAACAATTAACAAGAATTAATTTGCAACATGATAATTCATTTCAATGAACTATCAAACATAAACACTATATTTTAAACAAACAATGAAGACAATCATTACATTTAGACACTAATTATGAAATAATTAACAACATCACAAATCATTATAATAATATAATGATGAATACGAATAAAATGCATAATTTCGTGACCCCATTAGGATCACCATTGAATCCTACAAGAATAGCACTTCCACATTCTTTTAATCCTTTTGTAAATACTGAACAAGCAGAATAACAATATGAATCTGCATAAACTACTATTTCTGTTGATTTTCTTGGTTTACTCATTAATTTCTTTGTTTCCCATTTCATAATTGATGGTTGTGTAATTTTATGTTCAACATTTCCATATTTTATTGTTTTTGGTTTTATATACCAAAGGTTTAATTTAATAACGCAATATATCTTTTTACCAACCCACACAATTTTATTAAAAAAGCCTTCTGGATTCACTCCTGCACATTTTTGAAGTTCTTTTTGATCATACAATTTCCCCTTTTATTGCATGTTTTAGGGTCATTTAATAAATCTCCATCGATCCCTTTTTGTAACATTTCTTGTGTACATGTTGAAGTCCTTGCTGAAACTATTGTTCTTACATCATTATGTGGTGCAAATATCTTTTCTATCCATTGTTCAGACCCTTCATCTCCTCCTTCATTTTCTGGAAGTATGACTTGAATTGGATATTCATTTGAGTCAAATAATTTGATACAATTTAAAATTGTTTTATAATAAGGACTAAGTGTATGAAAACTTATAAAACTTTTCAATATAAAAGTGTTCACTTTTTTGTCTGAAACTCTACAATATATGGGTTCAACTAATGACCCATATTCGTTTTTTAATTCTTCATTTTCAATCGATTCTGTGGTTCTATTAATTGATTTTAAAAATTCTTCTTCCATTAAATGATGCTTATTAATGTTTTCTATCTGTTCTTTGTTCACTTTATATCTTGAACCATATCTAAGAATTGAATAATTAACATTATCACTTTGACCATTTTCCCATGTAATATAAATTGGTTTATTTAAATAATTTTTTGATAGTGGTTGTAAAGATAATCTTCCTTGTGTTAATGCGTAATCAGATTCTGATGACTTTGCTTCTGTGAATTGTGCATGTGGACACCTTAATCGAATATACTCTTTTCCAAATTCACGAATAATATTAAATTGATATTCTCTATTTATTGTTTTAACTGTACATTCTGATTATTTGTTATTTCATTTGGTGTATTCACAGTAATACTTTGGAGTTATTATCAACATTTGTTGTAAATAGAATGAAATAATAGAAAAGTGTTATTTCATTATTTTTTATCTAAAACTTAAATGAGAATCAATTCATCTTTCTTTTATTTTATTTTCTTCTTATTTTTTCATATCATTTTCATTTTCATTTTCATTAACATTACATTTGGTATATTTTCATGTTTTTTATTCTTAATTTAAATCAAACATCATTCATTATTTCAAATATAATTTATTTGTTATCAATTTATTGTTATTTATGTATTAGTTTGTTATTGATTGTTGTTTTATAATTAATTATATAATAAATTTATTTATTCATTTTTACTTTTTATTTATTTTATTATCTTTGATTTTATATTTATATTCATTTTTAATTTTAAATTATTAATTATTTTATGTTATTCATTTATTATTATTTCTTATTTATATTTATTTATATTATTTATTATTTCATTGATTTCTATTTATCATATAATTTGTTGTTGATTATTGTTTTATGATTTTATTAATGTTAAAATTAATGATTTTTTATTCTTTTTCTTATTATTTTATTCTTTTTTTCTTTTGAATATTGATTAAATCATTTCAAATATTTCTTATTATTGTTTGTATATCATTTGATATTAATGATATACATCAATTAAATCATCTCATTTATATTTAATTAGTATTATTAGTATTTTACTAATTGTTGTTATGATATTAATATTTGTTAATATTGTACATTCAATGAAATATCTCTTATTTTATTAATTGATAATGGTATATTAATTGATTATATTAAACAATATATATTAAATTATCATATTCAAATTATTGTAATTGATGATTCAATATTATCATTATTATCTCTTTTTCTTCTTTCTATTATTTACATTGTTATTTTCTGATATTTTAACATTTGATATTATTTGTTTATTCAGATTTATTTTATTTTTATTATCAATTTTGATATATTTGATATTCATACATGTTAATGAAATATCAGTTAAATTATTTATTTTCTATTCATTTGATTGATATGATATATTATTT